CCCCAAAACCCCAAAACCCCATACTTGCTCTTTTAAAGAATTATTTGAGTAATAATTTCTTTTAAAATGTAGAAAATTAAATAATACCTACAATACTTTATTAAGGGCAAAGATTAGAATTTTATATATATCGATTTTATTAACTCAATCCTCAACTTTATAAGCATTAGATCTGCTGCTATTTGATCTTGTGAATCTTTTCCTCCATAAACCATAATGTGCATTAAATGCCATGAATACAATGTTTCCAGTCACTAGGAGTCCAATACCAAGAATCCCAAACGTCAAATTATATTGCTTTTATATACCAGATTGGCAATTAGAACTGGGAGGTCCATTATTTATACTTCGATAAAACCAGAACTTATGAGCTCCACATAAACCCGAACAATCCTCCTCGTCTTCTAAGTTTTTAATGAAATCTAAGACTTTTGAATTTATTGGCTAAATTCTTTTATCTCTTATCAGGTCTTAATAGCACTAATTGAAAGTTTAATATTGCCCTGTGAAGTATAATTAATTAGGAGAGCCAACAGTAATATTGTAATTTTCCCATTTACTCTGATCTAGAGGTACACAAGGGCAATAGTAGCTGCACATATAGGTATTAGGTAATTTTGAAGTCGCCTTATCATACTCCTCAACGTAATTTAAAAAGTATCTACTTAAATTTATTGTAAACTGGTCATAAGTCTGATTTTAACAGTATTATTCAATTTGCTAATTTGATGCGATTGAAACAATGATTATGACCACTCCAATTCCTAGGAATATCAAACTCATGATGAATGAGAAGAAGGAAAATAAGCCAATCATACAGCAAGTTTTGAATCTTGCTGTGAATATTCCAAGAGCACCAACAAGAATAGTTATAGCTCCAGAGACCATAAGTCCCCAATATAACACTTTCTTGATGTAATCCATTTCTTCTTGATATGATTAGTTAGGATTAGTCATGTCGTCTTCAGGTTATGTTTATAAATTCCAAACATCTGATTCACCTAGCCTCCAAGTTAGAAAGATTGAGGCACTTGCAAATAGCATCACAAGTATACTAAATACAGTTAGAGTGATAGCGACACCTTTTGTTGAGCAAAAACACATAAAGAAACACAGCATATTTCTTGTTTGATTGGATTAATTAACTTTAATACCAATTTAAATTCAAATTATAATCTAAATAATTAACAAAGGGAATTATTATAAATTGATTAATGGAGTCATAAGACGTAACACAAGAGGAGCAATAAGTAGATTAAGTTTAAACTATAATTGAGCAAGTTGATTTGAATTAGTAAGAGGAAGAATAAAAAGTCTCTGAACTTCAATAATACAATAACACTAAACCATAATCATATTTACTTATGTTCAACGTTTAAAAATAAAAGAATTTTGGGACATTAATCAGATCTGCTGCTGCTTTCAATGTCAACTAAGTGTTTGTTATTGATTCTTAACCAACTAAAAAGAGAATAAGTTGCTTTGGATCTTAGGGGACTGCTTCAAAGACCAATTTTCAATACTTTACTGGTTTGAAAGATGTTAAATAATATTGCAATGAGAGGAACATATCGATATGTGGTATAGAAATTATGCCAGAGGCTTAGCCTATTCATTCACATCCTTTTAAGGGAAATACTTTGTTTATGCTGGGAAATGAGGGAAGTGGCTTAAATAAAAATCAGATTGCAATATGTGACCACTTCGTTTACATCCCCTAGTACACAGATAAAACAGCAAGTTTAAATGTAGCTATTTCAGGATCTATTATATTTTAACATTTTGCTCAGTGGGCTGGCTATTAAGAGTAAAAAATAGTTGGCTATAAATTTGAGGAGGGAGATAAGGAAAGTATAAAGAAAGGAATGCTCATTGCAACTGTAGGAAATGCAGCAACAAATGATCCAGTAAAGAAAAGGGAACAAAGGCAATAAAAGAAGAACGAAGAATTAGATGAGCACTTGGAAGAGGGGCTTATTTTGGAATGAGTATGATAGTCTCATGGACATCTAATTAATAGTAAGATAATCAATCAATAAAGCTATTTATTTATTTCATTACTTTATTTCCAACATTAAATAATTAAGATGCGGGGTTTTGGGGTTTTGGGGTTTTGGGG